GAGAAATGATTTTCCGAGTTTATCGGCTTCCCTGATATCTACCCTGAAGACTTCTCGTGACGTTTCATTCCTGCACAGCATACATACAAATACATCCTGCAGAAAATTTGTATGTAATATGCTGGGAATCTTGGTTAATCCTTCCTCACAAGTCCTTACTAGTAGACTGTGGTTGGTGGGATGACCAATGAGCGAAACACGTTACCAACTGAAAAATTATTTGTTAAATACCTTCTACGTGCCTGTGTATTATATGGCGATGGCGATGGCGAAATACAATTTGTTTTTATGACTGTTATAACCTTTATGGGTTATAAAAACATGTCAATTCGCAGTTATTGTTCCTATACTCTCTGCTCTATAATTTTTCTATCGGTGTTTTACTACGTTACGCAAATGATTAGTAATATTATCTCAAAAAATGTTCAAGTGGTCGACGTGTCTTAATGTGTTAATAATTATATTGTCATTATTTATTTCAATCTGCAAATCTGATCAAAAAAAGTAAATATGTCTCGTAATAGGTATCTATTGAGTATTGTAATGAAATTTAATTTTAATAGGTAATTTTAAATTGACTATATGTTTTCAGAATTTTAGAGGCACATACAAACGCTCAAACGGTGGCATTAAATTTCTACATATTATTTGATCGCTGTTTTTCAACCGCTATGCCGAATCAAATGTAAGCAAAATGTATTAAAACAAATTTAATGTGTAGATTTTCCCGCGCTGAAAAATTTTTCACTTAGGTACCTATTATTTTCTTAAAACCGAGTTCCTACTTTTTTATGTGGTCTAGTGCTTTGTAGGTTCTTAACGGATAATATTCAGAACTTCATCAACTACCCATCGAAAACTACGGTTGGATTAGCACCAAAGTTTACAAACAACAGAAAGTTTTTCGCAAACATGCTCGGAACAGCGGCTTTTAAAGAAATGTTGGCCAATGATGAAGATGAAGTGAGGAGAGACATGATAAAAAAATTAAAATATTGTGATGAAACTGTTATGGATAAAGATTTTTTAAAAGATTTCTATGACCGCGAAGTCGACCAATCAAAAATATAAAGAAACAAATCAGTTACAAGCAGTTTATTATGTACTGATACCTACCCTATTATATTTTTCTGTTTTCTATCCTGTATTTTTTAAAACTTTGAAAGAGAAAGCGAACTTAATGGTCTATTCCACTTTGATCACCTGGCTTTGATGACCCAGGTGATCAAAGTCCACTTCCAGCGACAATTTAGTATCCTTTGATCACCCATGGATATAATGCCCTGGGTGATCAAAGTGGACTCCAGTTAAATTATTATTTTAGTGTCCTTTGATCACCTACATACAAATCACACCTCCTTTGAATAGACACGTCATGTCCAATTGTTGTAAGTACAAACATTTTCTTAATATCTTAGACATTTTTTTATAGCATGAAATATTTTAAAGCGTTACTTACCTAAACAATGTTTGTCCGTACATTAAGTATAAGATGAGGTGTGATTTGTATGTAGGTGATCAAAGGACACTAAAATAATAATTTAACTGGAGTCCACTTTGATCACCCAGAGCATCATATCCGTGGGTGATCAAAGGACACTAAATTGTCGCTGGAAGTGGACTTTGATCACCTGGGTCATCAAAGCCAGGTGATCAAAGTGGAATAGACCAACTTAATGCCCTACGTCATTCTCAAAATTAAAATCTGTTAGGATAACGTGTAGACTGTGGATGCATAAGTACCTACTAAAGTTTAAAACAACTGACTAGTTACTTAAGCATAAAGTCAGCTAAGAGTTAGATTAGAAAAAAGCAAATACCTACCTAATTTCGAGGCCGTTACCGTCTAGGGACGATAGGAAGGCAAACAAATGAAGGGTGAACCACGACGACCTAACACAGACCTTTGCCACCCTTCGAAGCGCTCGTTTGTAAATCCTTTCAAATTAATCTATTTTTTTCTACTCTGCCTTACTTAGTAGTAATAGCACAGAATAATAAAAAGTACTACGTACAGAAGTTTTACTTCGCGAAGGTATTTTAAAAAATGTATGCTCAATGTCATTAACAATATGGTGTAATTTAGCCTGTCTCGAGAGTCAAGCACCATTTTGTTAACAAACGTCAGTGATCGGCACTGCGCCGAAGCTATAGATGACCCACGCTGAACTGTCCCACCGAACTCAATGACAGGGGGGCGCTACCATCGTTCAACTATAAGGTTTCCAACATGGCATAAATCGGAACCAGCGATCCGGTATTGACGGTGGCGCCCCACTATCAATGTCATCGACAGGACAGTCCAGAGCCCCGATTACGGTAACTTTTAACGTCAACAATCCAGACACGCTTCTCGATTCTGCGATACGATTGGTCGTTCAACAGCGTACGTCAGCTGTTTTGACCAATCGTATCGCAGAATCGAGAAGCGTGTCTGAATTGTTGACGTTAAAAGTTACCGTAATCGGGGCTCAGTATTTTGGAACTATATAGGGCTGACTTCGCACAGTGTCAGGCCTGGCTCACTCCGCGCGGTACATCCGATAATTACCTACAGCGAAGCGCCCCGCCGGCGGGTATTATATCAGTCGAGTGTCACGCGCGCGCTCGTCAGGACGCTGGCGTGCGTTGTAGTATGATTATAATTCTATGATCGAAGTATTATTTAAAAATGGACATAAAGAGAAAGAAATATTGTGCGGCGTTCGGGTGTTTAAATTCGAAAAGTAATCTACCGGATTCAACAATTGTTATCTTCCAAAATTTTTAATGTACTATAATGAGTGTCTGATAAAATAAACAATTTTTATTATTATTATTATTACTATTCATCTTTTTTTTTCGCTTCCCAAAGATGCTGAAAGGTATGTTGGCCATGTAGGTAATCAATAATTCTTAGGATAGTATAGCAACCTAACCTACTATGACTACTGCTCAGAATGCGATCGTTCGTTTCAGCCAAATGACGTCCACTGCTGGACAAAGGCCTCTCCCAAGGTTTTCCATAGTGAATGCATACTTACCTACATACGTACCTCATTACAAATAAGTAGATTAATTATTTTTTCACTAGACAGCAACCCTAACAGCGTAAGAAGAGTTCAGAGGCACGCGATAGAAAGAGACAAAACTTGTAGGTGAATAAAATTGTAGGTACGTAGTGCTGTGCGAGCTGAATTCCACTGTATCGCGTCGTAGCAAGACTCGCATTTATTTAAATCGTCTTGCGGAGTAATCCTTCTGTACCTGTACTATTACTTATTCTGTGTATAATTATCTATAATACCTGAAAATATTACTTGCCTATCCCGTGGAAGTTCGAAGATATTTTAATTTCTATGAGTTTAGAAAATTTATATGTAAATAGGGTTGTCATCTAAATATTTTTTAGTTTTTTAAATGCCGTCCGTAACAATACGGTTTTAATGCCTTTGTTAGATAACTATTGAAATTCATTGCTTTTACCATTATTAATTTGTCGGGTCGAGTTTGATAATTATAGAGTTGGCCCTGTGGCGGCTTATTGGAAATCCTATCGTTTTCGAAACATCGATATATATGTTGCAGTCAAAACTCATAATCGATCAAAACCACTTTTGACTGCAAATTTCAGTTAATAGTGGTTTTGACCGATGGCCTTAGTCAATATTACTTTTGACAAATTTTTCTAGTCGTATCATCCAACTTCCACGGGATAGGCAAGTAATATTTTCAGGTATTATAGATAATTATATTATCATGCATCAATATGAAAGCAGATCTACCGGCCTATAATACTTACTTCGCTCCGTGAACTTTTTGCCACTCGTTTAGGGAGAGCTGAGCCCCGATTACTGTAATTTTTAACGTCTCCATTTCAGACGCGCTTCATCGATTCTGCGTATCGCAGAATCGAAGAAGCGCGTCTGGATTGGAGACGTTAAAAATTACCGTAATCGAGGCTCTGGTATTTTGTTATCCCTTTTAAATAATGCTTACCCAAATCTTATATTCAATGAACTAGTCTTTTTTTTTATAAAACCTAATATACAAACACGAAAACACAACAATATCTTACTTAAGTAAATAATCGTATGAAAAACAAAGACACTTTTAGAAAACTTTTTTATCTCGGCTTACTTACTTTTGTAACTTCAATAGAATTTATATCGATATCATAAATATTGACAAGCCTTCCCTATCCAACATATTTTGACAGTTTTGACATTGACAGAAGAAGAATACACTACACCACAGATATGGATTAGAGTAGATACAGCAAGTTGATCGTCAAAGCGTGCCATTCCGATATGTCCAAATGGACATACATGGTCGAGTGATGTTCATGTAATCCGATTACAACAATCGGTTACGATGATTTTACGAGGACAGTAGTACGAACACGGTAGAAAGAAGAAATTATTTACGGATTGAGAATTATAATTAACAGCACAAGTAACAAATAATTAATTAGAATAAAGTAGCAGTAGAAGAAGTATAAAGTAGCATTGTTTTTAATACATAATCCTGCGATGTACTCTTAAGAGTTAAAACCATGGTCCCTGTATGTGGTGCACTCATACCGATCCCAAGGAACCGTACTTACTCATAACAATAAGACACACACTGATGCATGTATTCATGCACTTGACAAATTTTTGTCTTGAAACACTGGTAGGGTAAAAAAATAACGAGATTTGACGATTTGTAAGAATTAATTTATTTTAAAAAGGTAAATAAATATGTTTTTGGTTTTGTATTTAACAAATTATCAGTTTTATCGGAATTAATTAATTTTCGAATCGAGTCACACGATATCATTCGATGACTTTGCAAATGCAGTACGATGATACGATTACTTTTACGTTGCGGCAATCACTAAAATTCGCTAAAATGACACTAATGACGTTTAAAAAGTGGCACGCTCGGCTTCATACAATTTTTGACACATGCTGCATCTATCCATATCTGTGCACTACACAAAAAAAAACATGAACTCCGTCGTACACCACATCGTACACTCCGGTCGTACTATTATATCGTCGTCGTAGAAGCTAGTGATTTGGTGATTTGGTGATGTTAATTATCCATAAACTCTGTAAAGTGATTTCTTATTGACTGATCCAATAAATCTGTGAATTTAACAAAACAAGGTAAGTAACATTAATTTCGTATTCTGTTAAACATAGCAAACAGTAGTGTTCAATTTTCAAAGTTCGAGAACTTTGCATGTTTGTGTAAATATTACGAAACTAAAGAATTGTTTACTTTTAACGTGGTCCTGATAACAGCTATCAGTGTGTAGGTTAACTTTACATAACTGTGAATAGTGTTAATTTATACTACAGTAAGTAGATCATAATTCGAGTTTTGTATTTTATTATAGATAATTAAAGATGGATAGTATCAACACCTGTACTATCGAAACTGAGGATGGCCTTGTTTGTGGATATATTGATACGAATAATAAGAATAAATACTACAAGTTCAAGAGTATACCCTATGCCAGACCTCCTGTGGGATTATTACGATTTAGAGTAAGTATATTTACCTTTTAATAATTTAAATCTTATATGGTAGTGATATGGTAGTGGCAGCATTCGACAGTCAGTTCACTTTGTGACAAACCATTTTTTGATTGATTAATTTTAGACTGATATAATTAATTTGGATTTTGCAAACAAAATATTATAATATTAACAAAATCAATTTGGTAAATTTTTAATATAAGTGCTCACCTACCCATAACATAAATTATGATTTCAGCCACCCTTACCAGTTACACCTTGGACCGGAAAAATGGACTGCACACAAGATTCACCATTTGCATTTACTTATAACAGTATGTTAAAAGAAATTTTGGGTTCAGAAGATTGTCTATACATAGAGCTCTCTACACCAAATATCAAACCTGATAAACTATTACCAGTCATGTTTTGGATTGGAACCTATATCTTCTCAGTTTCTATAGATGAGTACTTAGACCCATCATTACTAAATGACCAAGGAGTTGTGTTTGTAAGATGTGGCTTCAGATTGGGGCCATTTGGGTTCCTTTCTATCAATGACTTTTCTGCACCAGGAAATTGTGGCCTAAAAGATATAGTCATGGCACTAAAGTGGGTACAGAAGAACATAGCTAAATTTGGTGGGGACCCAAATAATGTCACAATATTTGGAAGCAGCTCAGGAGGTTCTGCTGTCCATTTGTTAATGTTGTCTCCTATGGCTAAAGGATTATTTCACAAGGCTATTTCTCAGAGTTCTACTGCCTTTAATAATTGGTCACTTGGTCAAAATCCTACGCAGCAAGCTTTGGAGTTGACCGAAATGTTGGGCATAACAAAATCAAATAATATTGAAGTTATAGAAGAACTAAGATCAGTGCCAGCTGAAGATATTATGCATGCATTTGTAGAAATGGAAAGTAAATTATCTCTATTAGATACAAGAGATATTTTTAATACATCTTTTAAACCATGCATAGAAGATGATTATGAAGGTGTACCAGCATTTCTAACTAAAAGTCCAATGGCAATTATTAAATCAGGAAATTTCAACAAGGTACCTCTTTTGATTGGTAGTAACAATATAGAAGCAAATATATTAGAATATATTAAAAGTAACTTTTATGATGAATTTGAAAAATACAATGAAAATGTTAGTTTACTAGTGCCAAGATCATTATCACTACATGATACCAAAGTATCCAAAAATATTGGCCAAAAACTTTTAAAATTCTACTTGGCTGATGAGGATAAACTGACTGAAAATAATAAATCACAATATTTGCAGCTGATAAGTGATTATTACTTTCTTTATTATGTAAACAAAACTGTAAGGGCTCATGCTGAATTTGCATCTGAATGTCCTGTATTTTATTACATATTCAACTGTCCATCAGACTGGACAGTTCCAGAAGATCTTCAATTTCTAACTGGCTTATGTCACAGCTCGGAACTACCTTTTATATTTAAAATTAAATCACCTGATGCATCGGAAGCCGCGAAGACAAGTTCCAAGGGAAGCCGAGAATCTATCTTAACTCGACAGAGAGTGGTTAAAATGTGGACGAACTTTGCAAGATGTGGGTAAGTAAATTTTCTTTCCATGTCCCACAATAATGAACATAAATAAATTCCACATACACATTAAACTTCTTTATTATGTTTTAGAAACCCAACACCAGATGAAGATGATCCACTACTAGAGATTAAGTGGGACCCAGTTGAAAACAAGGACAAGTTGAATTATCTCAGCATAGGCACTGAGCTCACTAAAGGCAGAAATCCATTTCGAGAGAGAATGAACTTTTGGGAAGAAATACACACAGAAAATAGTTTATTGAGGATGCTTGTGCATTTTACGAATAAAGGTATATCATGTTAAAATGCCTGCATTTCTACATGCTTTTAAAAGTATTGAAACTCACTAATGTACCTTAGTGAAATAGATCTCTATCAATTAATTAAAATGGCTTAGTAATTTTAAAATTTGCAATGGACAATGACAATATTCATAGTAAAATACTAAAAACAATGTTTTAAGCACAGAGGGCTTTAATAAAAAAAAAGCTAACGCGCGTTGAACACTGGTATAAAAATATGTCATTTCCATATTATAATCTATCCAATATAGCTTGATTAGAATGACGGCTGTCAAACGAATGTGACTAGTGATGGGTATGTTTCGTACGGTTCACATAGATGTATCGATAAGTTTTCGAAAAAATGATATGAAAAAATGCACCCAATTTTTCTTCATGTATCTTTATTCATAAAAATGACAATAATATGATTTAAATTTAAAGACAGTAAAATTTAAAATTCATGTCAAGGGTGTACAACCTAACACGTTCACTGCGTTACGGGGCCCTTTCAGCCCCATGCACGACTTTTCCCCAGTGCGGGACTAGAAATAGTGTTTGTTCACTCTGGTGCGGGAGTTGTATCTCTGGTGTTTACAGCAGTGTGAAAGAGATAACTATCTTTTTGTGTTGTTTGTGAATTATGAAGCTTTTTGACATTATAAAAATATACGGGGTCTAATGAACCCCGTACCGACCAGACAGTAGAAATTACCTTTTAGTGCGATACGGGGCTGAAAACCCCCGTACGAATTTATCGTGCGCCCGTACGGGGTTGTAGGCTTATTTGCATTAGTGCAGTGACAGACGTGACGTCAAATATCGATAATGAAGCGCTCACGACGTATGTTAGAAATGTCACGTAACAAAAACGATGAAGAAACTCCCGTTCCACCAAGGTCATCCCACCGACAGTCAGCTTCTTCACCAATGTTGCGAAAATTTTTCCAGCGGCATTCAACACCTGTTCAATATGATATTATCACGAGCCTTANCACAATTTTTATTTTTAAAAATTACTGGTCGATAGGTTACTTTATTTTGATGAATAAATGTTATTAAAAGTTTTTTTCTAAAACTGATAGTTTAGCTGGAAAAAAATATTTTCCATTCCAATAGTATGCCGGCTGCGCTCGATTCGGATATAATGACGTCATGCGGCCCTGCGTACGTTGACTTTTAGCGGCAAAAACGGCCTATGTTTATTACTTAATATCTTCGTAAGTAATGGTCCGATTTGGATAATTCAAAAAGATATATCTTTCTTATGTCTTAAAGATTAACGTAGATACTAGTTTTATTGAATTTTCTACAACAGTACTGATCCTCATTGAATAATGCCAACATCATATAAGTTTGTTTCTAAAGGGAAGATTTTTAAAAAACAAAATAATAAAGGTATGAAGCTTGATCATTGAAATCAGAAATGTTATTGTCTGATGCGAATGTGCAAAAGGTCAACGCACTTGTTTGTGCCTGTAGATCTTTAAAAATACTATCATCGAATTTAGCATCATGCAAAATCACAATCCTGAAATTCGTTGAGCTGATCATGGCGCACGCAGGTGTGTTTGTGCCATTTTAAGATAAAGATAAGTAATCTTAAAATGTTTTTAGAGAATACTCTTGTACATAAGAGCAATATTTTTATAGATATGTATCCAAAAATATAAAATATACAAACATTGTTAACATGTATGTATGTTAATATTGAACTCCAGTCCCCACCCACTTGATTGAATCCAATAAGAGAAAGCGTTATTTTGACATTCAGTAAACAATTCTTTAATTACAAATTTTATAAAAATATTAGGAAAATATGGTGTGATGAGCTCAAGCATACCTATTATAATATACTCCGAGTTGTGAAAGTTGATTTAAAGAAACCCAAATACCTATCGAGAGTATGCATTTGGGTGTAAGTTCTGAGGGTGTAAGTAATGAAAGATTGTTTCAGGTGTTTCTGTAGGTATAGAAACTTATTTTGTTATGCAGTACCTACAGAAGAATTATTAGTGGACCCACGAAAATATGAATATAAATTCTATGCGTACGCCACTTTTTAGTTGTTAAAATTATTAAAGCCTCAACTGTATCCTAGCTCACGCCAGTTTTGCCAATAGTGTCAATTCATGTATAAATAGTTGTGATAGTTTTGAAAGGTTTCTGCAAGGCAATATTTATCGTGAAATCAAAAGTCCAGCTTCAAGTTAATTTGAATTGTTGTAATTTGAACGTCAGGTTTCAAATGCAATCAAGGGACATAGTTTGCAGGCAGTGATCAATAACATAACAATTTTCACATAACAATATACAAGTTTAATTTCATAAGTAACAAAGAATGACATGAAGGCCAACAAAATATATTTTAACTAGTACAACATAAATGAACTAGATATGCTGTTATCTACAATAGCAAAATAATAAGGCGTGTTCTTTGTTAATAAATTTATAGATATAATATAAATAATAAAATCACCTATACAAAATGGGTGCAAAATAAAATACTACAGTGGAAACTCTGCCCAGACCATGATATTTTTTTAAATTACGGACCGCAGAACGTGTTAGTGATTCATGTCTTAAATGTTTAGTTAAAATTCCGAATATCAGAATCCCTGAAATAAGAAAAAGCTTCACGCGTTACCCGATATTAAGAACCAAAACTATACACGTCAGTCATTACCATCTTTATAAAACAGCACTCTTAATTAGTGGTGCTATTTATTAATACTTCCTAATATTATCTACAACTCACTACAGAGTTCAATGCGGTCATCACGAGTGCCACTAACACACCTATCACTAGACTATTAGTGTTAGCTATCGATATTCGATAAAGCATACATTTATACATGTTAAGCATTAACATTAGTTGGTCTTACACTGGGTCTCTCTTATAAGCAAAGGAAGCCCGCGGTCGTGGCATGTCACTATGAATCCCCCAAACCCCAGGCGGAAACCAGACAAAAAGCCACGCCCACTTTTAAATGTTTAGTTAATTAAGCTATGTCGTAAAACAGGCCTTAGTACTGCCAAACGGATAGATAGAGGACGGCTACTGGCCACCTGGTGGTCCACGGTGGCCAAGGAATTAGAGCTTGTCCAATCAAATGTTTCGACTACAGATTGTCCTCGTAGAACGAGGAGAGTCGGACCCAAATAATGGGAAATGGCTTGAACAAAGATGTTAATTTAGCTATGGTTTTAAGTTTTCGAGTAAGATAAATAGCCCGAGTCTGGGCATTTTTTGTCATATGATAAGCTTTTGGCTTGCCACAGCCAGGTTACAAAGCTACCCCCCAACGTTTATACTAGTTTGATATTGATACTTTAAATAATAGCGCGATACAACACGGTTATACAATAGTATTCTGGCTACTTTTGCCATATAAGTCACTGTCAAGAAGTCCATTATATGTATAATAATTATCTAGTATGTATACAGGATGACTTTGAAATCGTTGGCATCCTTTTAAACTAAGACTACTCATGATACATAGTACATTCCCTGAATATGAGACAAATCTGATGAGATTTTGTCTCAATTTTACTGTTTATTTGTATTAGTGTGCTCTTAAAAAGAGTTTAAAACGATTGTACAGTTAACAGCACATCAGCCTATAACTTTTGTTGCAAAATAACACTTACTACATCGAAATAAGATGCCACAGTGTTAAGTTTGGTATGCTGTCGTCTATTTTTAAATTTTATTTGTCTCATATTTCGGGAGTTTAAAAGGATGCCAACGATTTAAAAGTCACTCTGTATAGTGTATACGTAAAAAAAATAAATCTATGTAGTTAATGAAACAAGTAAATTAAGTATTTTGCACTATGTGCAATTTTATGGAAAAGACCTTTGATACCAACATTAGGTGTTTAAAACACATTTACACAATACCTACCTATCAAGATTCGGATAAACGGTAATTTTATCAACACTTTGGTATAATTTGATTTTACTGTAAAAATAACAAGGTCAAAAAATTATCTAATGTTTTATAACGTCCTATGTCCTTAATCGTCATTCAGCTGTATATTAAGCGACTGGGATAAGGTCTATAGAGTAAATAGTCTGATAAATAGAGTTTCCTCTGTATACTCTAGTGTAAATATTTTGTTCAGGGAACTGGTAGTGTAATGTTGTCGGGTACATCGGCGAGTTATTGACATCTGAAACAAGAAAAAAAGGCTTATAGGAAAATCACTCAATGTATGATTGTCTCCTGACGTCAAATAAAAAATCAAGGGGTATCACTCAAGGTAATTAAGCCTAGGCGCAGACTGAACTGTTTGTCAGCCGATAGTTTAGTCGGGCAGTTAATCAGTATGGAAGTGCGCACATTACGCCGATTTGGTATCGGCCGATTCATACGTACAAATTAGAATCGGGCCCAACGATTGGGCAACTAAAGTAGGTGGTCTGCGCCTAAGCTAATAATTATGTCCCCTGACGTAATATAAAAAATCAAAGGGGGTGTCACTCCGCAGTTTAGGTTCTGAGCGGCGTATGGCTCGCACACGAACCGTGTGTCAGTCAGGCGAATGAAATCAAAATCAAAATTATTTATTCAGTTTAGACCACAAGTGGCACTTATGAACGTCAAATATAAAAAAGAAAAGGTAGCACTTATGGGGCATTTTACATGATTGTCTCCTTATCTTTTGCGTGATCATCTTAAAACTCGATATTCAGTGCCGATGGCGTGTATAAAAGCGTACTCACTGCACAATGAGCGAGCGTATAAGCGTGGGGGCGCGGCTAGAACTGGTAGCCGCCCATGGGCACGGCCTGGTCGGCGCCGAAGTGGTACTGGTCGGTGGACGACGACACGGCGGGCGCGAGCCGCGCGTCCTCCTCCTCCGACCCGAAGAAGTTCTCGATGATCTCGAAAGACTTCTGGTATATGTCGAGATTCTGGTGCGATTGTAAGAACTCAATTTTGTCCAGACCTGCGGAGGTGAGTTATATTTACGTTAGCGACAATAGCTCAACGGTTTACGTCTCGGACTGCCGATTGGCACAAACATATTTTTCAAAGGTTAGCTGGAGAGGTTAGTGGGGATGTTACTATTTATAAATCAAAGCATTTTGCTACTGATATACTTAGTGCTTTACTGAGAAAATTCCTGTCAGTGGAAGAGGTGCGGGA